AGACATAACCGACGGCGAAATACAACCTCCTCACATGTCAGTCCTCCGCTCTTACTGCGCAACCCCAGGTTGCGGTGTCGCATGTACTAGGACATCACTCAGTTGCAGCGTCTTAACAAACACTGTCTTCGTCTCCAGATAACATATTGTGCGAGGCCATACTAACCGCCAAGCACTCCAGCTATCTTGATATCATTTACCGCCCGTCAATTTCTGTAAAACGAAATCATTACCACCTCTCTGCCGTCTTGCAGACAGGCTTCTAAGACAAAGGCTTTGGGTGAGGACCCTCATCGTCTTCCCGTCTGGATCTGGACGCCCTGGAAGTATCCCGGCCCACATACAACCATGACTTTTTCTTCAAACATAAACTTCATCTTGCATTGGCCGTCGCGCAGCTTATCAAAGGTCGCCTTATCTGCTGCACACAGCAGGGCGGATAAGCGAAAACATGCTACTGTTGGCGCCTCCCTTCTTTCTCCTCCACCTGTTTCTCTTACTCCCATCCCGACCCCCATTACTAACCTTCCTTCTATAATTCCTAGCTTACCTGACAGCAACCGAAGTGCCACTAAAGTAGAACCATCTGCAGCCACCTCACGACACGCACCGGACTTTTATCAACAACAGTACCTATAAGGCCACACTGTCCCGTTTCCGTGGCGGCGTTTAACGTTCGCACTCTAAGGCAAATAGGTCAACACGCTGCACTCGCACGCACCTTGGACACCCTGGGTATTGATGTGTGCTGTGTCTCCGAAACTAAAATCAATGACCATAACGGGATTGTTGAATTAACTGCACCCGGCTTATCCTCACCTTATTGGTTGCACGCATCCGGAGACGCCGATGTAGCACTCACGGGTCAAGCTGGTGTAGGTATCATTCTAAGCTCTAAGGCTGAGCCATCTTTGGTTGATTGGATTCCGGTGAACAGCCGTTTATGTGCAGCTCGTTTCACGACATCAGCTAAGGTTGATTCACGAATTAGTACCAAACGCTGCTTGTTTGTAGTTTCCGCTTATGCTCCCACCGACTGCAGTTCGGATGTCAAGAACACATTCTATCACGAACTGAACGCGCTATTACACAGTGCTACTAGTTCAGATATTATAGTACTTGCAGGGGATATGAACGCATAAGTAGGGCGTCTGAGCTCTTCAGAAGCTCAGCTGGGTGGCAATTATAGGCTTAGCTCCGAACGGACTGACAACGACAAGCGTCAGCTACAAGTGTGTGCGGAGCACCATTTGTTTCTTACTAGCACTGCTTTTAGACACAATGGGCGCCGAAGTGCCACTTGGCGTTCTCCTGTAGCTGGCCAGCGATGGACCCAAATTGACCACTTAACGTGATTCCATACTGGATGGCCGCTCGTACTGGAATACCTGCGTCGACTCTGATCATGCCTTGGTACGCTGTCGTTTCTCCATGAACTTCATCGGAAGGCGCACCAAGCATCCCCTCCGATTGGCAACGGAGAAATTGTTTCAACCCTCGGTCAGGCAAGCCTATCAAGACGCCCTGCATACCGAACTTTCGCTGTCTTGTTCTAATGACACCGAGCTTCAGTGGAATAGGATCTCGACCGCCATGCACGACACAGGAACATCTGCTTGTGACAATATCCATCGTCACCCCACCAGTCACTGGAGATCCGAAAGATCGGTGAACCTGTTGAAATCTAGAAGAACTCTCCCGGCTGGGTTTGAGCACAATGTGACCAGACGGGCTATTAGGCGCGAACTAAAGCGGAGCTTACATGCTGACAAGGAAGCCTGGTGGACCAGTCGGGCTCCAAAATTGGATGAGACAAGAGCAGTAGGAAATTCTCGCAAGCTCTTTCAGCTGATCCGCACCACTGGTCCCAGGAAGCCGGACGTCAATGAGACAGAGACAGCGTGGGTGCACTGTTTGACAATATGAAGCGCCGCATGGCTAGTTGGGCGGAACAGTTTCAAAATCAGTTCAGTTGGCCCCCTGATCCCGGACCTCTTCCTACTCAGGTGATGCAGGACGAGCCATTTACGGTTAGTCTCGAGGTTCCGTCGGATGCCGAGGTCCAAAATGCGATCACAGCCATCAATCGTTTTCTTGCCGCCGGTACGGATTCACTCCCACCTGCATTATTTAAGCATGGAGATGAGGTCCTCTGCAAAGCACTGACCTCTCTATTCGAATGTATCTGGAATGAAAAGTGTCCCGGCTGATTGGAACGAATCAATGATAGTGGCAATATACAAGAAGGGAAGTCGCACAGAGTGTTCTAGCCACAGCGGTATTAGCCTAACGCCAGTTGTGACAAAATTGCTGGCATTGATTCTCTTTCGCCGCCCCACTGTGGAACGGGAATCTCGGATTAGGGGAGAGCAGGCCGGTTTCCATCCAGGGCGTGGCTGTATAGACCATATATTCACTTTGTGGCAGGTGCTAGAGCAGCGCCACGCATACCGCAGACCGACGATAGTTGTGTTCCTTGATTTCAAGTGTGCGTCGATTCAGGCGATCGATGCATTCTGTGCGAAGTACTTGCGCGAAAAGTGTTCCCACGAAATATGTGAACTTCCACGTACTCTATACTCGAACACTACAGGCCGCGTCAGGGTCTACAGTGGCCTATCGGATAGCTTTCCGACCACAAGTGACGTTCGTCAGGGTTGTCCGATTTCCCCATATTTGTTCAATTTCGTCGTGAATTCTATCATGGAGTGTTCCCTTGTGGAATCTCATGATGTAGGCGTTGAAGTGTTTCCTGGTGAAAGGCTAGATGGTCTTGATTATGCGGAGGATATCGTCTTGCTTTTCGACGATGTTAGGGCGGCAAAATCACCCCTGAATAGCCTGTCTAGAGTGGACCCATTATTTGGTATGCACTTCGCACCTTCAAAGTGTTGCTGCAGGACCACCAGCCTTTTGATGACCTTTTGACGCTTGCTAACGAGGCATTCGAGGTGGTTGATCATTTCACTTCTCTTAGCGGCTGCATCAGCAACGATGGACTCATAGAAACTGACGTCAGCTCACGCATTGCAAAGGCCAGAGCTACCTTATTGAACCTGCGGCATCTTTTCCGACAGAAGGAACTTTCCCTTCATCTGTAAGGCCGGATATACAAGGCCACAGTGAGGGCTGTTCTGCTGTATGGTAGTGAGACTTGGCCCCTTCGGTCTGAAGATCTGAAGCGCCCACAAGTCTTTGATCATCGTTGTCCGCGAAGCATCGCTGGTGTCGGATGGCACCAGCGTGTCCGGAACGATGATTTGCGTAGGCGAGTATTAGGTGGTGAAAATCATACTAGCTCCCTGCAACTACAGATAGCACTGAATAAGTTGCGTTGGCTCGGGCACGTGCTACATATGCCTGGTCACCGCTTACCTAGGAGGGCCTTGTTTTGTCTACCAGGTGTAGGGTGGCGCAAGACTAGAGGTAGACAGAAGTTGACTTGGCAGCGGGAAATGAAGTCACTGACGACCTCGTGGTTGTATGGCAGCGAAGCATCAGTTCAAATGGATGATGTGTTGTTGCTATTGATGATGTTGACAGACCGTATCACGGAGGATAGCTGAGGGTAGAATCGATCACGCGTCACCAGGATAACATATGGTCGGACCGCACGTGCTTATAAAAGTGGCAAACTTACCTCTTCCGAGGTGTAGGCGAATGGTTATAAGTCGCGCACTGATGCCTGTTGGTCCACCTACCAGCCGGCCATGGAGGCGATCGGATATTGTAAATCCGACCCCATGTTTACGTGATGCTGAGGTGGCGTTACCCACCCAGTAGAATGTGCAGCCAGCACCTGCTTCACGCAACTTACCTTGCTCAGCGAGCCGAGTCTCACTGAGCGCCGCAAGATCGATGCGGTAGCGTGCCAGTTCCATCGCGACGAGTGCAGTGCATCGCTCGGGGGCGTTCACTCGAGTTCCAGTCCAGTAGTGTGAGCATGTTCCAGCACCCGATGCTGAGTGCCTTGCGTGGAAGCACACGATTGCATTGGTGGGGAATCATACGCGAGGTGGCGGTTGTGCTTCGGAGGTTCGCTTGAGGGACTCCACCCGGAGCCTTTGGTTTAATAGCCTGACCGATAAGGCAGTGGGGAGCAGATCCAGCTAAGGGATTGTGATTGCAGTGACAGATTGGGATCTGCTTGACGGCCGTCACACGCAGCCTTTGAGGTGCTGGAACGATTCATTTATGTTTTGCGACCGTAGTAGGATATGCATCTGCAACCAGGGTCAGACGCAAGTGGATTTTGGTGGGTTTGCGCCAATTTGACCAAGGGCTGCCTGGCTTGAGGCGGGCAGTAGCAAACCATTGAACACCCGGAAGTGCGCTCCCACCGTCAGATACAATGCGTGGCGCTCGTGCTCTACACCAATCGAGCTGTGAGCTAATAACCCGTAGACCTGTTTTCTCCCACGACTAGGTTTTACGGGAAGAGCGCCATCGATCACTTCCTAACAACCGAAGAGGATGGACTAGGATACTCGCAGGGCGCCCACATCAAATAGGAGAACGACTCGGGTCCCCAGCCAAAGCCTTCGATTAAATGTACACCAAAAAGGCAGCGGGTCTAGCACATGGTCTGTTCACTGACTCATGCGGGTAGGTGTCCTGGATTTTAAGAGGGAGAAGGGCGTAACCCAACTCCCCCCCAGCAGTCGACAAGAAGCGTCCAGGGCATGAGACCATGGTACAACAGTAGCAGCAGTGGGTAGACCATCTGTCAGGATCTCGCCAACAGCGCACGGTAGCATATATATATATATGTATATATATATATATATATGTATATATATATATATATATATATATATATATATATATATATATATATATAAATTCAGTGGCAATAATATGAGAGAAGTTCCGCGGAAAAACGTGAGCTGTTACATACGCCTAGAACAAGAGCGCACCATTCGGGTTAGCGGTGACTCAGTGTGGGCGAGATATAAAACTGCTTGCACAGATATGGAACAGAGAAACAACGTTCCGCTTACGTAGTGGATGTTCACGGAAGTAGGAACTTTGGCAGCATTCACGTGCACGAGCGCGCTTCGCAGGATCGTACATGAAAAGAAAGTTCAGCAGACGGAGCCCAGCATCAGACAGCCATGGAAATGTATGCCTCAGATTGTTGTACCTGAAAAATAATGTATCATAATAAACTAAGCAACTGGCTAAACAATGGCGTTTGCACGTGTAATAGCTTCGAGCTTACGCTGCTTTACGGGAAGTGTAAAGAGTAGCAAGATGGCACCATGAACAGAAAATAATTAAATCGGATGCAGACTTACGGTTGTTTTTTTAGATTTATTTTCTCGAGTGCTGGCAACTTAGACATACCCTGTAGGATAAGAAGACAGCAAGTCACAACTCACCGGCCAGATCTGTTCGCTAGGTGTGCCCAGTAAATCTATGATGAGTTCGATTTGATGCATCTCCCCTTTTCCAGGAAGCAATGGTTTATGTAACAACAATTCACCCATGATGCAACCTGCTGACCTGAAGGTAGAAAGATCAGGCTAAAATAAAGAGATGGCGTACCAAATGTCGATAGCCTTGGTTTGATTCTTGTCGCCAAGCAAAATCTCGGGAGCCCGATACCTGTTTGGAAGTCCGGGAATCAGAAAAGGCAAGTTGCAATGAAAGTGTGAGAAAAATGAAACCATTAAGTAACGGGGCAGAGAAGTATAGAAGAGAAAGATAGATCAAAACTTGACTCTAAAGCGATCTAACGAACAGATCAAGTTTGTATAAAAAGGACGCCACCTACAGATAGGTTAATCTAGAAAAGTTTTTGTAAAAATGACGGAAACTAGGGAATTCGATGGTCTAAAAGCAACGCCATACATGCGGCGGCAATTTGTTAACCAGGCACATGATTTTGAATGCCGCTTATTCACACATCTTCCGTCCAACAGAACCCAATCACTGCAGTTATCGGGAACTGAGCCCCTGAGGTGCTTAAGGAGAAACCTGTTGATAAGGAATTTTAAATTTCTCAATAAGACCATAGAGGTACACACTCCATGGTCAATCGGACACACGCTTCGTTGTCAAAAGCAGTGCGATTAGCCAAGTACTAAAACACGGATCAATACAATATGTTAAAGAGGAAATTTGCAGAATTATCACGTCCGTCATTGAGTGCGAGTTGTTGCCATGCCCGAGAGGGTTTCTACCTAGGGGTGTTCGTGGTCCCTGTGCCTCCGAAATCAGAGTGGCCGACTAGTGCGCGCGAAGAGTGCCAAGCGAGATAAACTATGAGCTGGCATTCGAAACCCGTGTTCAAACCACAGAGGTCTGTGCAGCGAAGTAATGCGGTTTACGGAACAGTAGTTTGTCTGATCTGAAAACTCTTCGACGGACGCCATCATTACTAATATGGTGTTATCATCGCATACCAGCAATGCTCCGAAGGCAGTATGATTAAAAATATACCATCATTTGCGCAATCATAGAGCAGCACCGTTCTCACCGTAGTATTGTAGAATCGGCTCTTTAGAGTGGCTGAGGTCGCGTCGACGCCAGTGATGGCGAGAGCAGCAAAAGTATCACGAAACAAAGATGCTTACAGACCTTATCCATTAAACCATTATCGAACGAACTTGCCTACTATTTTCAAAGGATGATCAGAAACGGCAAGAGTAATAGCAGCTTTTAGCCAGTGCTATAGGAAGACTACACTTCGATGGAACGGAAGTCCTTCCGAAGTGAGAAATAGACATCCCTAAACTAAGCGGCAGATTTAGGAAGCATTGTGAAGAAAAGCAAATTACGACACCAACTGTTGCCTCTGTTTCGCACAGGCGATTGCAATTAACCGGATTAAGCCGCTGCTTTGTGTTCAGAAACAATTATCGGTCAGCATTAGACTGCCCTGAGGATAGGGGTGATAACCCTGCCTCGCTTGTTGTGTGTTGGTCTGTTTGTTTGTCTGCATGTATGTTTAGTCGCACGCTTCACTGAATAAATATTATTGCGAGTTATTGTTCAAGGCATTGATGAGACAATACGAAACGTGTGCATTTGCCAGTCTTGGCCTTCTTATTGCGTTTTTCAAATTACGACGATGTCAAGAGCATACTCCACGTCGCAGTCTGTCTCCCAGAAGCAACTCGACGCAACTGGGTCCGCAATTGTCCAGAGTACTCTACAGAATGTCATCCAAAGCGGTCGAACAGAAAAAGTGGAGTTGGGCAACTTTGTCTCACGCCTCTGGTGACACTGTAGGGGGCGAACATTTGCTGTATACTGACTCAGCTCGAAGTATATTAATACTTATTGGGCACTTTCCTTATCAACAGAAAACTGCAGATAGCAACTAGATCAAGTGAGTCTACTAAGGCTCATGTGTTTAAAGCAACGAATTTTGACCAGCCGAACGTTTGAAAACGCGAGTATCCGGCGGATCATAGAGACGTTAACAATAAGACCCCGATATGAGCAGAACACAGCTTCCTCTTCGTGTTTCTGTTTATGTGCTGGTCTGATCCTGTTTACAAGCAGTACGGCGAGCACAATGCGCAATGGTTTTGGGAACGCTTCTTAGAAGGACAGCATATTTTGGACGTTTTAAGCGAACGGGAGATACTAGTGATTCAAATCTTTGAAAGATGAAAGCTAATTCCCGCACAAGTAATGGACTTCCACCTTTTAAAAGAACCAGAGGGAATTCGTCTGCTCCAGGGAATTTGTAGTGCTTCAAGAGGCGCAGCTCATAAGCAACCGCAACCTCAAATGGTGGTGAAGTGTCAGCACACCAAGGATCACTGTGGATTCCTAAACGGGAACTCATCAGTTCCGCTGCCAATTAAACGGCTGATTGAAACTTTCGGCTTAAGGTACAAGCCGGCGCTGGCGACAGTACATTACCTTACCATGGGCCTCGCACAAAACTTCGCTTACAACCGGTCTCTTGGCGCCAGTGAACCGGATCAGAAAGAAGATTAAGGAAGTTTCAAAAGGTGACCGCCTGATTTATCTCGATGACACACTGCATCCATCAGACTTTGCGATCCCCAGGAAGAATTGCTTGAGTTTAGCGCCGGAAGTCCAGCGCAGTGCCATCACCACCAACACCAGCAGGAATTACTCAAGAAGCTAGAGGTCGTGCAGTTCTGGTGATCGACGGGAGTACTAGTGAAGCCACAGAGCAGGGTTGCAGAGCTGTGAATGGCGCTACGAATTTATGCCGTGTGTCTCAAAGCCTGAGTATCCGACATTTGAGGTTCGAGACCAAAGCATCCTGGAAGGCACTCAGGATGTCACCAACATCATCATCAGCATTATGCCCGTTAGCTAGAGGTAGGAAACACCTCAGGCAGTGTGCCGCAATACATAAAAAAGGAAAAAATACAACAAATGCAAGTTAGCTGAACTACCGGTAACGGATGGGCATCGTTCCGGTAAGCGACCAGCTGACTACTATGCAAGAAAAATTTACTATGCAGAAAAATTTACTATGCAAAAGTATATAAGGCTAAGTAGTGAGATCGTGGTTGGAGGGGCGGCTAAGAGGGATGGGGTGGGACAAAGAAACTCACAGCACGAACACCACTGAGGTCGGCTCCTAGCCATGTCAGCAAGTGTATCCAGCCAAACGTGTTCATCGTCTTTCGGACCCCAAGCAGGGAGCCGAGACGCTCCAAGCGAGGCCAGCTTCGAAGTGAGGGCCTTCATTCCTCTCGACCAAGTCATCGCTTGGTCACCTCTCCTCTTCTTCCATCCACACCTCCGGCGCGCAAACAACGCACGTCGCGGGAGTCGGTGGGCTGGCATGCGCAACACGTGGCCGAGCCATCGGAGCCTGGTGCGTGAAATAACGGTGCTGAGCGGTTCATTTCCTTTTCCTGTGCCGTAAACAAGGCGTCGAACACGCTCGTTGCTCACTCGGTGTTCCCACCAGATGTGAGCAAATTACGAAAGCACTGGTGGTCGAACGTAACTAGCCTCTGTATGTCCGCTGATCTAAGGGGCCAGGTTTCACAACCGTACAGTAGGGTCGAACGTACCGCTGCATTGTACACTCTACCTTCAGGGCAAGAGTGATGTCGCGCCGGCGCCATAAGTGGCGAAGGTTAGCAAAAGCGCCTCGAGCTTTGCTATACGGTTCGTGATCTCATCTTCAATCCCACGGGCGCTGATACAACTTCCCAGGTAGTTGAATTTTGAACGACTTCTAGCTGATCCCCACCAAGGGTCAGCGCAGGAGGCGGTCCATGCCAATCTTGGAGGAACGCTTTGCACTTCGATGGTGCGAAGCAAAGCCCGAAGTGACGGACAGCCAGTGCTAATCTGTCCAGTGCAGCTTGGCACGTTTGTGAGCTGTCACAGATTAGGGCAATATCGTCAGCATACTCCAAGTCAAAAAGTCGTTCTCCTGGGAGCAGATCCACACCTTCTAAGTCGTGTCCTGTGAAACGCGATTTCCATGACTTCGTCAATAGCGAAGTTGAAGGGGAAAGGTGACAGCGGGCATCCGTCTCACACCGCTGGAGATATTGAAGGGCGACGACAGCTGGCCGTAAGCCCTCACTCTGCCCAAGCTACGCGCGTATAATGCTCGGATAATATTTATATATTTCTCGGGTACCCCCTTTCTGACTAGGCAGTCCCAAAGGGCACATCTATCCACCGAAGCGAACGCATTATTGTATTGTGGAACATGACAACGCTGAGCCTCCAATATATGTGACGGTGCTCCCACAACTGACGCAAGGTGATGTAATCAATGCAGCCACCACCTCGACGAAACCCGGCTTGCACTTCCCGAATATGGCTTTCATGAGTGCCAGTCAGTCTGTGAAGCATGACAGAGGAAAGCAATTTGGATGTGATGAAGATCAAACTGATTCCTCTATGGTTGCCGCATTCCGACCGTGAGCCTCCCTTGAAAATTGGGACTATGAAGCAGCGACACCAGTCGGTTGGGAGGGTTTCCTGCTCCTACAGTTTCACTAGTAACTCGTATAAATCATCCACAAGAGTAGGTCCATCAAAGTTGAAGAGGGGTGGAGGCAGATCACCTGGTCCTGCGGCTTCATTTAACTTCAACAGTCCGATCTCACGTTCGACTTCTGAGCGAGAGGGCGGGTTCAAAGGCACATCCCAGGGAGCAGGGCAATCTGTGGCCGGGGAGAAATTTGATAGTTCCGACCGATTAGGTGCTCAACACAACGCTTCAAGCGCTCTGACAAGTTGTGGATATGCTATCCACTCTCGTCACTTATGGTTTCATTAACACTAGGCCTCCTGCTGACCGTTTCCCGTGTCAGATGGAATAATTTACAATGGTTACCAAGGGCAGTGGCCATTTCCATCTCCGATGCACGGAGGCCACCAGGATTCGCGCTCTCCTTCAGGCTAGCACGGAGTTTTGCCAGAAGCACTTTGCGAGTTTCATTGTGTTCGTTTCCAGAAAAAATGTGCCGGCAAGCATCGATAAGTTCCAGAGACTGAGAAGAGACCCAAAGTCCATGTTGGCGATTAGACTTACCACATAAGGATTTGGCTGCTGCTATTAAGGTTTGGTGAACATGAGACCAGTGACCTTCAACTATCTCCAGTGAGCGTTTACTCAACCCGCATGTTCGCGTACTTTG